GAGAGAGAGAGAGAGAGAGAGAGAGAGAGAGAGAGAGAGAGAGAGAGAGAGGGTGACGCACAATAGTGTTAACAAGAATTATGGCTCTTAAATATAAAACAAATTCTGGTTACCTGATGATTTCCTGCGCAACTTGGACTCTTCGACTCGACAAAAGTCGAGTCCCTTTACTTGTGAAACTATTGAGAATGAAATCTCTACTGTTGTGCTCCAAGACCGCACCGATATCAAAACCCATTTCCTCTTCTTCTTCGGAAATTGGACGACAACATCCCGAATCGCCAGGATCACGCGAGACGAGTGCAAGCACGATTCGTAATTTCCCGCGGTGTAATGTAATCTCGCAGGTGGAAGCACCACTGGCGGGAACGTTTAAGGGCTGCGCCTCGGGGGTAGCCAGAACCGAGAGGGCCGCCTAATAGTTTGAGGGGGTTAGGACAAGCATCGCGTGCTCCCGGGAGCATCTCAGATTCTAATCTGACACTTCCGTCGTCGTTGCCACAATTACCCCGGTCCGACAATATATACGCGCGTCCTAATGCGGACCCTCGCGTCGCCGAGCACATCGAAGCGCGGGCACGCACGTGCACATGCGTGAGGGCCAAGTATGTGTGTGCAAGTGTGTGTATGTGTCTGTATGACCGTCGGAGGAAATTGGCCAGGCAGGATGGACATCTGGCACTAAACGTTAGATAACCCGTATATACCCGGCTACGAACAGGTTGACCAACTCGGTAATTATCGCACACAAGTTGCGCGACTCGCTACATGCGCTCCGGGCGGCCCGAGTGCTCCTCGACGATAAGGGCAACGATGACCGTCGACACCTTTCGTCCCATTTTTTCCCATGCTTCGGGGGCGCGCCGATGCCGTTGGAGATGTGACGCGATCGAACGAGCGCGGACGAAGTTCGTCCTCCCGAGGAGCGTACAAATTGCAGTGCGCGCGCTCGTTGGATATCCTCCTCTTTTTATGTATTTTTTTTTCCTTTTTTTCCGAACGGAGACCGCACGGCTCGAGGCGCAATTTTCCGCGGCTTGTCCGGGCACAAATGCGCGATTCGTTTCCATTTGTCGCGGGCATTTCAGTGGCGCTAAATCATGCATTGAAGAATAAATAGGTGTCCGCGCAAAGCGATCGAGAACGGCGCGTTTCAGTCGGGACCGCGAGCGAGATCTTAATTGCCAGATAAACGAGGAAAAACGTCCGATCGTCGCGCATGCGAGCGAATCACCCGCGGAAATAAACGTCCGGCCGGAGCCGTGACAATATTTATCGCATTTCACGGGAGGAATTTCCCTCTCCACGGTTTCGAGAAACTCTGCGAGATCGCGCGATCGGGACTGGAGTAAACAGAACGAAATGGCAGTTTGTGCGTATTCCATTCGCCCGCGCGCGCGCGTGAATATTACCGGAGTGTTATGTTATATGAGAGACAGACACACGTCTGTAAACGTATACACACGCGCGAGCGTGCACACACACATTCGTGGACGGATCGCGCGATTTTTTTCTTGACGTTCCACTTTATTACCGCGGCTTCGACGGCCCGTGCATTTTTCATGAGACAATTTTCTCTGTCGTGCCGCCGACCCATTATCCGACGCGTATCGCATTGACGCGCACGCGTACGTCAAGAAGAGAGAGAGAGAGAGAGAGAGAGAGAGAGAGAGAGAGAGAGAGAGAGAGAGAGAGAGAGAG